GAGTCACAACTCTTCAGAAAAATCACAACTCTTCATAAACGTCACAACTCTTCGAAAAACGTTGTTGAAAAATAAGAGAAAACCCCTCTATTTATAGACAACAAAGGGTAGTGTGAATGGGTGCTTATTGTGTCTTATCTAAAAGATCACAACCCTTTGGAAAAATCACAACTCTACAGAAAACTCACAACTTTTCAGAAGAGTCACAACTCTTCAGAAAAATCACAACTCTTCATAAACGTCACAACTCTTCGAAAAAGGCACAACTCTTCATAAAAGTCATAACTCTTCATTTTCCATTCACACCTTTTAAAACCCAAAAAATATTCACACATGAAAAATACAAGAGTTAAATACGATTTTTGAAGCCGAAGATGTCGATGCTAAATTGTCTATGCTGATTTCTATTACAGGTTTTAATGATTGGTAGATATGGCACCATACAACAACAGAAAACTATGAAGATATGGCACCAAAGTTACTTACTACTTTGGACCTGAAGATATAAAACATATGTTATTCAAATGTCCTCGATCTCAACATCTTCGGTCTTGAATTCATTTTCATAAAATAAAAAAAAAAGTATTTATGATGGATAGGTGCACGAAGATACAAGCTCTTCTTAATAGGAAGAAGAGACGAAGAGTTACCAGATTGTCGGGCAAGAACTTCAAACCGCAAATACATGATGAAATAGAGTAATATTTAAAACCAAAGAAAGTATTACATAGTTAGACTTATTTTCAACCGCAAATATGAAATCCAACCGAGACCTCTTCATTCCCGGAAACTGGCATGATTTCAGAAACATCTAAAGCTAAAGTTTTATTTTTCATCTCGAAACAATATCAATCAAGTCATAGGAACACAATTGAAACACTAGTTAATAGATCACACTCCTCTAGCTAGTAGCACCCTCCAACCAAATAAGCTGGAATAAAATGAAAAACTACACAAATTGGATCTATTAGGTGAAGTATTTACCCAACTTAGATCCAATATATTTAAGAACCAATGTTGATACCATTAGAATATATATATATATATATATTGGTGGTATCTATACACTCTGATAATATCAAGCAGTAATTGAACAGTTTTTCACTGAAACCCCGAAACACTACTTCTTCCTCTTTGATGCATATATATTCTAATGGTATCAAGGTGAGACTGACTAGTTTCACTGAAGCACTATTTCTTCCTCTTTGATATCATCAAAGTATGTCATGTAGTAAACATGAATTAATAGTTAAAGACATGGGTCTGAAAGTAAAAGGGTAGCCGCCTGTAAACAATTTCTCTTTTTGGGTACAAGTGTTCTTTTCCGAAAAAAAAGGAACAATTAAATAGCACACACTATTTTGTTGTTGTTATTTTTCTTTATTGTACACTTTACACTTCTTTTCTTATTGATTGCTATGTTTTTTTCATTTTTTTCTCCTTCTTTCACTTGGGTTTAATGCACTTGAGCCAAAGGTCTTTCGGAAATAGCATGTCTACCTCCACTCCACAAGATAGTGATAAGTTGTGTACACTCTACCTTCTTCAGACCCCACCTAGTGAAATTTCACTGATTATATTGATCTTGTTGTTGTTAGTCATTCTAACAAAAAAGAATGTATAATGTTAAAAAAATATACATACGTCAAGAATTTGGAAGAAGAGAATGCTCCCAATTTATGTCTAGTTGATTTTACGAAAGCTAGAAAATGAGGAAATTTCTTGAATGATGTTAGTTTTTAGGAACTAGTCGAATATTTTTATTTTGCAATGATCGTTCAATTAGTTCATGGTCCATTACACAATGTGCATGAAGCAAATAATGACAAATTCTTAACTTCATCTTATCTAAGATGCTCTCCTCAAATGTTTCCCTTTAGATATTAATGAGGTGAATGGTAAGGATATAGACAAACTTATTATATATAAATTTGTATCATCACAAACATCCATATATAGAAAATCTGGAAGAGATTATTTTCTAAAGTTATCATCAAGCATTAATTTTTCGAATAAAAAAGTGAATTCTCAAGTGATAATTAGTTTTTAGGGTTAGTCTGATAGTCCTTTTTAGGAATGATCATTTAGCTCATAGTACATTCCAACAATTCGTATGGAGCTAACAATTGGATAGGACACATTAACTTTGTTTTGTCAAAAATGCTCCTCCTCAAATACTTTATGTAGACATAAAATATTTATGGGATTTTACTGTTAGACAATTGGCATTTTTTCCAGCTTATTATTTTTACTATGTTTTTTACTTATTTCAGTTTAGTGCTTCCTATTTTCTAACTAGACTTAGTCAACTTTAGTTGCTCAACTTTCTAAAGTTAGTGGCCCCTTTAATGGCTGTTAGTGGCCCATTTTATGGTTGTTAGTGGCACATGTTCTTATTTAGTTTTAATATCCACTTTGTAAGTGGCTACTAGATAGGAAATGGTTAGGTTTTTCCTTGTATAAATTCAAATTTTTTGCAAATTAATACACGATTGAAATTTCATAAGTTCATTCTATTTTTATTCTTCAAATCAGTTTCTTGAGTATTTTTGTTCTAACAGTGGCATCAGAGCATCTAGTTGATCTTACAGGACCAAAAAGTTTTAACCTACAACTCAAATGACATTCAACAACCCACCTTTAAATCCACCATTCACTTTCACTGGTGAAATTTATCAAATTTGGTCTGTGAAGATGCAAGCTTTTCTGGAAGCCTATGAACTTTGGGAAACTGTGACGGAAGATAAACCACTTGCTGCTCTACCATCGAATCCTACCTTGTCTCAAATCAAAACCAACAATGAAGAGAAGCCAAAGAAATCTAAAGGCAAGTCGCTTATGCAGAATGCTGTGGTAGATGCGATTATTATCCCTTTAGGTTTGAAAGTTGATCTCACATGTTTACCTCATGCGCATGCTCCACATACATGATCTTCATTAAACCTTTGAGTTGGCAACCCTGTGACACCAGGTCCTTGGATATCAGTTTGTTCATCAGTGAGATGTTTGCACGTCCCAATCTTTCGTCCCATAGTAGTGAGTTATCAGTGATTGCACCTAACCATTAGAGTGATTGTTCTTTGGGACCCAAAATTGTCAACTTTGCACATGTTTTTGTATCTCTTACCCAGGAGGACCAATTTTCTAGAGCTAGCACTAATCACCCGACACACGGTTGAGGTGAATAGTACATTGTTTCCCTTGTCACATATTTGGGACACATTCAAGAGATTGTGTTATAGTCCTTCAACATAGTATACATTATCTATTGTTTGAGAGGGCGCAGGTCCCACTCTACTAATTCCTAGAATTTCTTCTTTCTTCCTGTTTAAAAAGGCTTCACTTCGGCTTTGGAAATATTTTAGTGAGAGGAGGTTCTCTTTGTTTCCAGTGATGTATCTGAAGCATGTGATGGCTAGATACCACTGCTTTTGTTTTCCTCTCACTAGTTCTTGCTCAATGATTTAGAGGTTAGATTTGGGTACCCAGATCCACTTGGGTCCCTGTTTATGAGTGGGAGGATGAATCAAATTTCTTCTGGACTATTTGGATAAGGGTTTATGGTTGGGAACCAGTTTTAGAGTCCTTTACCATTCCTTCTTTTTTCAGAAGCATGAGATTGTTTTTAATGGACAGACTTTTCTTTTGGCACATATGGCTCTAATAACTAGGTTGATCAGAGTGAGTGCAGAACATATCATTGTGATTTTCCTTAGATTTTATAGAATTCTTATTGAATTCTATTCCATGTGTAGTTGAGGATTGACTATTTTGTAGATTATTGAGAATTATAGAGGATTTTGTCCATTTTGTATTTTGCTCTTATTCCATCTTAGTCATTTAAAGTTCCTTATTTTTAACAATTTCTTCCCGAGCCATGTGAACATTGTTTTGAACATTTTTCTCTTTTCTAGAAGAATTTAAGTCATTAATTTTGTCTTCAAAATTATGATTTTGATTTTCAAGACCCCTATTTTCTTCTCTTAAAGATGCCTACTCTTCTAGCACTTGTTCCTTTTCATCACAAGTTGAGTGATATGCATCCATGAGAGTACAAAATAACGATTCTAATTTTAGTTTTAGATAAATATGAAGATTTTCCTACATTTTAAGAAAACTTACCTTAGATTGTTGTCTTCTTCTTCTTTTTCCTCTAAATATATCTTTGCCATTAATGCCATGATTGTTTCCTTGACATGTATTCCCTTTATCAATCAGATTCTGTGACTTCCATCAATGCGAGAAAGTCATATTTGTATGTCTCTTCTATTACGAGTAGAGATTGGTTTTCAGATCCTCCCTCCTCAGATTCTTCTTTAGATGAATTTTTCATTGCAACAAATGTCTTCTTTACAGAAATATCTACCTCTTGATTAGTTATTCTACGATTTGTAGGAATGTACTGATCATTCCTGGCCTCCTTTAGTTTTTTATGGATTGTTTTTCTTGTACTCCAAGGACCTGAAAGGACGAAACTTGATGAAGTGATATGGAATTCCACACTTGTGACATAGGTGGTCTTGTAAGTCTTTATCAGTCATCTTCTGAAATTTCTTCGTTGATTCATCTGAACTTTCTCCAGAATTCTTGAGAACCCACTACAACATTTTAGGCCTAAGGTAACACTAAATTTGGGCAACACTTGTAAAGTGTTGCCTAAAATAATTTTGGGTACGCTTTTAAAGCGTAGCCTTGGTTTATAGTTTTTTGCCACGATGACATTAGCAACACTTTTAAAGCATGCTCTTTAGTGGTGTAAGCTACACTTATAAGCGTTTCCATATCATGATATAATTGGTAATACTTATTTACACATATGACTACACTTTTAAAGTGTGCTATTTTTATAATTCAAAAAACAACACTTTATAAGTGTAGCCTTATAGTTTCTTCTAAAATTATCACTAAAATATTGTATTCCCTCCAATATATTTAACACTCCCTCCAATTTCTAATTGGACAAAAAAAAAGAATTCATAAATAAATAAAAAAAGGTCTGGTTGAAAAGAACTAAACACTAAAAAATGTTTTACCCCAAATCAAAAATAGGAGCTGCAATGAATCGACTCAGACACTATATTGGAGAACACGTTATTTCCCAGATTTCGAAGAGAGAAAGAACGGAAGAAGCAATAATGGATGTAATCAAATCTCAGCAAATATCTTCGAGGCCGATTGAGAAGGTGATAGTTCATCCGCTTGTGCTTTTGAGCATCGTAGACCACTACAATAGAGTTGCAAGAGACACAAGGAAATGTGTTGTTGGGGTTTTGCTTGGAACTTCATTTAAAGGTACTGTTGATGTTACTAATAGCTATGCAGGTATCATTGTTCCAAACCCTTTTCAGATCTGTTCAAATTTTTGTTTCATGGGGTTTTTGATTTTTTTGTTATTTTGATTTTTTGATGGAATATGTAGTTTGCTAGGGTTTTTATCAGGTGAATTTAAGATTTGAACAGTGAACTGGAATTTAACGTAAGGTAAGGCAGGTTTCTTATGAGCTAAATTTGAGATTGGAACAGAGAATAAGTATCTAATGTAATGGGAAATTGTAAAATAACATTCAGTTTGCCTTTATTTATGGAATTAATTGGGTTGCTTTTGTTGTTAATGTTCTTGCATTTTGGTGGAATTTTAAGTATGTTAGATTTTTATGAGCTAAATTTAAGATTGGAACTGAGTATAGGTATGTAATGTGCCCCAAATTCTAACATTGCAGTCAAGTAGTCTTTATTTATGTGATTAGTTGGGTTGCTTTTGTTCTTGCATTTTGATAGAATTAAAAGTAACTTAGAGATTTTTTATGAGCTAAACTTTATATTGGACCTAGGAATAGGTATCTAATGTGCTGGAAAATTGTAAAACAACATTCAATTTGCCTTTATTTACAGGGATTAATTGGGTTAGTTTTGTTCTTTCCTTTGTATTTGGATGGAATCGAACTGAATCAAGTGGAATGGACATGAAGATCATTTAGGTGGCCTCAACTAGTTTGAGATTTAGAGTAACTGATTACTATGGTCTTTTTGTCTTCCGATGGAAGTAAAAGTTAGTTGGGTTTAATCTGAGCCAAGTTACAGAAAGAAAATGGATAAAGTTCTCTGCTTGAAAAAAAGGTAATTGGTGAACTTCTTGCCTCAAAGTAGGTATAAATTGATGTAAAATTGTAAAATAACTCTCAAAATGCCTAGTTTTTTCGGGTGAATATATTAAGGAAGGAAACTGAAATGGAGCCAAATACTAAAGACGCCATAGGTACAATATTGATGATCTCACAAAGATGAAATTTCAGTTAATTGTCATTTAAATATTGTTGAATTGGCCTTAGGACAAAGCTTTGTTTGGTGGTCAATGTTGACTTGCAGTTTAAAGTATGTTTACTATTTTTCAGTTACTATTATCAAAAAAGGTATGTTTACTATTTAGAGAAAAATATGGTTTTCAAAGAGTTGATGTGCTTTTTTCTTTCTGTTGGGGTAGGTCTTGCCTGGATCTTAGAAAAGCTGTAATTATTTTGTTTTCAGAATGGAGAAGGAGAAGCTAAAAGTAGGTATAAAGTGGGTGGTTTTTTTTCTTTTAATGTTTCACATAAACTATCCTACATTACTGGAGGTATTCTGTGTTCTGATACTTCCTTAGATTTGTCACTTGCTTTTAAGATCTTCTTGCCTGTTTATTAAACTTGTCAAGGAAAGAAAGAATGCTCGTGATGAAAGGCTTATACATGTGTGGTTAATTGGCTTTATATTGTAAATCATATCCCAGAAGATTGAGGAAATCTCTATTGGTTTGGGAAAAGATAATACACAGCTAATCTTGTCTAACACCTCAAACGTATACTTTCTGTAGTGAATGGAAGTAAGAAATTCAGAACATACTTCGGTCACCAACACCTTAACTGTTGATTGCTGAATTTTGAGTGAAAGACTGACATCTAGCCTTTCTGTGGAGATGTATTGCAATATCAATTAGACTGTCTTCGTACTTAGTTGGAGGAGTTGGGGAGTCTATGAAAACAGATATGAGCTGTGGTGACGGAGATAGTTCAGTCACTCGACTCATATATGCCAGCCTTCTTCTCGTTCAGCTGTCTTTCTCTATTGCTGGTATTCAAAAATCTTAATTTATATGATTACCTTTTCATTTTATATGTTTTTAAAATGTTAGATGCAATTTTAGATCTAAATAATCTTCACATTTTTAAGAATTTCAATTTCTTATATAGTATGAGGAATTGTGTCTCGTTCACAGTGTTGGACAGATCGTCAACCTAAATCTTACAGCAACCACAGAAGCACAGTTAGAAAAACGTTCAAGGTAATTCTTTGAAGTCCTTTTTTCCCCTCTTCTTTCAATGTCTTTATATCTTGCACAGATTCATGTATCCTTCTTCTTAAACATTTTAATTTCTGGTTGTTTCTTTGACCGGTAGCAGTTGTTCAATGGCATGCCAAATCATGTGAAGATAGTGGAAGTTGGTGCAAGGGATGGATTACAAAATAAGAAGAAAATTGTTCCTACATCAGTGAAGGTTGAATTAATTCAAAAGCTCGTCTCTTGTGGGCTACCTGTGGTTGAAGTGACGGGTTTTGTTTCTCCAAAATGGGTGCCTCAAGTACTTCTTCCTCTATTTATATATATGGAAACTTCCTTGCATACAGTTGCGGTGGTACACTTTTTCCATCACAAAATGTGTGATGTTTAAGCTTGCTTTAGAGTCTCCGTTTTATGGTGTATAGTGATCAGTTAATCCAATAGCTTTGTTTTATGCATTGGCTCTTTGAAACTTTTCATTTCTTTTCTGATTCTCCTATTAATTTTTTTGTAGCTGTCGGATGCCAAGGATGTAATGGAAGCAGTTAAGGATCTGGAAGGTGCCAGATTGCATGTATTGACAACAATTCTTATTTTGCTTCCTCAGTTAGCTGCTTTGTCGATCTTTCTATGCAGTGTACATCTCTGGATTATAAATTTATCATTGTCGGTATTACTTTTTGGATAACATGCACACATGTCTTATCTGCTTCTGCAATTTGTTGGCTGCTTGAATGCAGATGTCTCGGGAGACAAGGCTGAACTTGCCACACATTCAAAGAAAAAGAATAAATGTCCATGTTTATTAGGTGCAAACACTTAAATGAAATTCAATCGACGCAAAAAAATAAAGAAATGTTGCCAGCTGAAAAGAGGCACTACTATTACAAATGCGCACAAGAGATCTCGACTCAAGAAGACGTCTTCTACAAGTTTGTGCCTTCAATAACTCTGTCAACTCAATATCTTCCACTCTGTCAACTCAATATGTTACGTCAACAGAAGGTTAGCAAGTTAAATTTATGGTCTTTACATACCCACATGTCTCTGAGTGCATATGTTATTTATACACACGCATGTTCTGGTTTGACACATTTCATATTTATTTATTAGCTGCTACATTCGAGGCTCATACGTTAGTTGACACTTCTGCGAAAGGGAAAAGTTTGGTTCCTCCTTTTTGTGTCTGTGAAAGAGGCGAGTATAATAATCATATTATTTTTGTTAGCTTCTACTACCATAAGGTGTTTGCTTCCCTAATTCATAACTACTTAATACATTAGGATCCACGTCAACCACATCTACTGACCCCTGTTAGGACATATAACAATATGTTCGCTTTTACTTTGCTAGGAGTAAAATATGACAAAGACTTGGCTAAGAGATATCATGATATTTATACTTTTAGAGTTCAAGGAAAAAAGTATCATATCCTTCGGTCACAAGCAAAACAATTTGTTCGACAATTTGCCATAGATTAGTTGTTTAGATATCTGTTGAAAGATCTGCAACGTCATAGTTTTGTAGCCTTTCTGTGGCTTTGCTTTAGGACTACCCTCATCTTATCTTAAGTCATGTTGTGGCAATAACCTGGTTCCTTTATATAATTCAGGTTTACAGGTGTTAAATTATATATATCAATGCAACAGTAATACTTGTCATTTTACACAATTCTTCTTATTTTGCCCTTGGAAATTATTAGCCTTGAAAATATAAAAGTTAATATCAACCTTCTAATATATTCTCAATACTTGCTATGTCTAATAAATATTTTACTAGGCAAGTCATCCAGCAAAGAAAAATCATAGATCCACATCAGCTGTCAGAGTATGGTATACCATATATATTTGTAATTTTTCTCTGTTATATTTGTAATGTTCATTAAGAATGATGAACAACTCTTGGTATTTTGTGGGATATGCTAATTTTTGTTTCCTGCTACATCTGCTGAATGTTTGATATATAGTGTCTGATGTATCATATGTACTCTCTTTTTTTTTTGATTTGCACCGGGTGTCCGAGTCTCTTTGAGCCCCGACTAATCCCGGGGGTGCACAGGCCCTCGGCACATATATATGTACTCTCTTTGTTAGACTTCTTTGGTTTTTTCTGTGCCTTTATTATTCTAGCTTACATTAGCATCAAAACTCTTTAGTGTAGTTACTCATTGTTCATGACCATTAGACTAATTACATAGTTATGATTTTAGTTGACTTATGGTTCGAAATGGATATACTGCAATTTGGTCATGACCATTTCGAAATGGATATACTGCAATCTGCAATTTGGAATCTGCAATCTGGAGCTAAAAAAATTTGCAATCTGGAATCTGGAATCTGGAACTTCTTGCCTCTTCTATAACGTACTTCTGCAATCTGATTTGTTGTACATTTTAAATGTGTAGGGAAATGAAGGTGAACAAATTTGAAGGGTTGCCACAAGTCAATTTGATCTCATTGAAGTGGATGATGAAGAGTTTTTGAACTATTGTAAAAGTTTGAATACATTATGTTTGATTTTGTGAAATATATTCATTGCTAGAATATATCGAACTATTGTAAGAGTACTTTCTGAACTATTGTGTACACATATTTAGAATATTGCTTTATAAGTATGTGTATGTACACAAGTCATACTATCTTTTGAGGTTTATTGCAAATCTATATATTTGAATTACTTATTAGACAATTTAATGCTTGATATTATTTATTGCAAAACAATATTGGCGTTTTTAATTAGAAATTGTGGCATATAAATATTTTATAGCCAAAATAATATTACCACACTTACAAGTGTAGCCATAGGACTGTAAATTGTGGTATGCACATGGGCAAGGACTACACTTCAAAGTGTGGTCATACATTAGATAGAAAAGGCAACACTTTAAAATCGTGGGTAATAAGGAAGCAAAGGCCACACTTGAAAGTGTAGTTGTATGAGATAGAAATGTTGCTATATGAGGTACTGGAAAGCGTGGCCTTATTGCCTTTTAGGCTACGCTTTTAAGCGTAGCTGATAAGGCAACACTTGAAAAGTGTCGCCTAAACTCTAAGGTGACGCTTTTTTCGGCCACCCCTGAAAAAGTGCAAGGCCACACTTTTTCATAGTTTAGGCCACACATTTCTATGATGGTTGTAGACATAAAATGTTGTAGTGACCTTTTAGTCATTAGGGCAATGTTCTCATCCTCGAAGTCATCTTGTGTTGTTGCCTTGAGAACTAGGTTCTTCTCTTTTCTCTTGCCGCCTATTTCCTTTTCTTGATTCTTCTTCAATTCATAGGTCCTGATATTTGCAATGAACTCATCCATCATCAGGGCATCCAGATTGCATGCTTCCGTAATGGCTTCGACTGTGCTTTCCCAAGATTCAGGAAGAACACTCGAAAGTTTTCTGACTACTTTTCCAGTAGGGATCACTTCTCCTAGTGAGTAGATTTCATTGATGATTATCGTGAACCTGGTGTACATGTCCTGAAATGTTTCACATTCCATTATACTGAATAGCTCGTACTGTCTATTTAAGTTATCAATTTTGGATTTTTTTTACCTGACTTGTTCCCTCATGAGCTTTATGCGGAGTTTCGCTTATAACTTTTGCATCTGGGCATGCTGAAATCCGATTGTACTCATTTTTACTTATTCCTCATATCAAAATCTTCTTCGCTTTCGCATTTTTCTGATTTGCCAATTTATCGTCAACATCCCACTCCCTTTTATCCTTTGGTACTTGAGTTGTTCAATTTTTCATAGGAATGGTGGGACCATCTAGAATAACTCCCCATATATATGATTTTTCTGTTATCAGATGGTTCATCATTCTATTTTTCCACCATCCATAGTATTTTTCGTTGAATAGTGTGAGTCGTGATTGTGATGCTCCTTCATGTGCAATAGGTGGTGCAACCATTGATCCTTTTCAAGGTGTGAACCTTTTAGACGAAAAGACTTGCTCTAATACCAATTGAAGAAACCTAGATCACCTACACAAGAACCAAGTTCTTGTTGGATTAATAGAAATAAATATTAACAAACTAAATAGAGATTTATCATGAAAACCTCCTTGATCAACGGAAGAAAAAACATTGCCTACACCTCATTGGATTTCACCAAACTTCACAGAGCAACTACAGATTATAACTCTATAATGAAAGGGACTAACTCTAGTACCTCACCTCAACAGTTCACTCAAATTGTTCAATGATTAACTATAATCATATACTCTACTCTACAAGAGCCAAACCCACTTCTTGTTAATAAACCTCATTTCTTTCACAACTAGAACAATTATCTCTAAACAATGATTCTGAGTTGAAATAACACAAACTAAGCTTTAGAAATAAAATCTAACTTTAGTTCTTTTTTCTTCTATTGTCTTTCACTTTCAGCGCCACAAACTAAGCTTTAGAAAGAAAACCTAACTCTAGTTCTTCTTTCTACTTTCATCTTGCTCATTCAGTGTCGCACGTGCTCTTGCTAAAAATATTCTTGGTTTATGAATATGCAAAAAGTTGTGATCCTCATGTTTCAATTGTCCTTTTTATAGGAGCGTATGAAACCCTAGTTTAGTCCTACAAGGAAAGTAGTTTCCTTCGTGGGTAACTTCTTGCCTTGTTAGGATTCCCCTGCCGTTTAGAAGTGTCGTCTAGTTGAGTCCTACATGGAAAGTAGTTTTCTTTGTGGGTAATATCTTTCAGTATCAGGATTTCTCTTCTTTTTAGAAGTGTCTTCTATTCTTGCTTTGGTTTTCTTTACTCTGTTTCTTTATTCCAGTTTGTGAACCTGGTTCACTTTATCATTATCAAAACCTGTTCAAAAATTTGACATGTCATCAATTCCCCCATTGAAAATAATCTTTAATTTTGATAATTTATATCCAGAAATATTATATATAATTTACAACTTCTAGTGCAAATTTTTTATGTATAACACTAGTTTTCAGTTTTTGACTTTGCAGTATAATATTTATAGCTTGAGCTTCTAGAGTGAAAACTACAAGTTGCTCTATCCCATAAAATATTAAGCTCTATGGTCTACAATTTATTAATATTTAAGTTCAAAATTCCTTCCATATTGATCATAATTAATTTTTGAAGTTCACTTTGAAATCAAATATGTCTATTTTTCAACTTTGCGCAACTATGATAGAAAATTCATAACTCAAAGTAAGAGTGTCAAAATCACGGGATTCTTATTTCATTAGAAAGAAAATTCCAAGAACTACAATTTATGTAAAAAGCATTGTAAAAGGCTTTATGGATTGGTACAAATATTGCTTTAGAATTAGCTCACAATTCTTCCTTGCTCGTCTCTTCAACTGTGCATGTCGATGGTATAAAATTCAATACTCATAGTAGGAGTACCAAAATCACAAGGTTCTTATTCCACAGGAAATTAAAGAGGACTCCAAGAACTATGATCAACACAAAAATTACATCAATCGGAGTTAAGAACTGGTGGAGATATTGCATCGAAGTCAGCTCAAAATTTTTCCTTCCTAGGCTCTTCAGCGTTGTGCATCTATGGTAGAAAATTCATAACTTAGAGTAGAAGTGCCAAAATCATGAGACACTTGTTCAATAGAAAAAAGGACTCCAAGAAATAGAAGATACATAAAAATCACATCCATAAGAATTAAGGATTGATACAAATACTGCTTCGAAGTTGGATCACAATTATGTCTTGTTTGGCTCTTCGTAACACGCAATTGGGGTGTCCAAATTGTGAATTTTTTGATTTCTTTATTTTTGGTAACTAGACTCGAAGGTATACAAGATTTTGATAACTGACAAAAAACTCTACTCTAGATTTTCATGAATTAATTTCTTAAGTTGATTGCACATCTAGCCAATTTTGTACTCCCTCTCCTCCCCTACCGATTGTATGTATCTTGAATTTGGTGTGTCCAAATTATGAGCCATTTGATCCTTTTCAGTTGAGGCTTTTGAAAGCAACAACTTGGTGTTGCACTTTCTACCTTCGTTGTGGCTTTGGTTGATACAATTTGTTGCTTTAATTTTCATTGCGACTTTGGCAAGATACCACTTGGAGAGTCCACCATCTTTGCGGTATTGGCGGAGATGATTCGGAGCATCCTCGTTAAATCATCGTGGGGGCTTTGGAAACTAGGAATATCTCATATTTTTGATGAGAGATACAAAGTACTCTATTTTCTTGCCTTGGTTATAACTTATATAGAACACGAAGCATATCCTTATTTTCTATTTTGGTGTGGAATAACTCTTTATTCCAACTTGGAAAACAATTTCATTGAGAATCCTTTTTGCAGCTTGACAGAAGGATACATGGTGTGTGTTTTGTTTCCAGAGAAGTACATAATGTGTATCCTTTGAACTCTGGCATAAATGTACAAGGAGCATCCTTCAATCTTTGTAGATTTTCAACTCGGCACAACTTCACTAAAATATTTATCTCTCGATGCAAGAGCAATGAGATTGGGATCCACTTCATTTTGTAGAAGCTAGTCTTCAAAGAGTGCGACATATATAAAAAAAAATCTCAGATCCAAATACCTTAAGGATTGGCTGTAATAATTTTTTTTATGTTGATCAAGATTACTGTCGTATTGACTTTCCATCTTTGGGCGCTCTGTCCGCGAAATTAATATCCTGAGCTAGAAGTGTTTCAAATTCTAGGACACTGAATTTTACAATATCTTAAATCATCAGCAATCTGCAACATATAAAAAATTCATAGATAAATTCCTCGTTGATTAATCAAAATAAATTTCTGAACTTAGTTTCTAAATCATATGGGTTGGCTTTGCAACTTTGTGTGCTCTCATAAAAAAATTATATCTCAAGCTAGGAGCTTTAAAATTGAGAGATTCTTAATCCAAAGGGAAGTTCTACAACGTATAGCTAAACTATTCTAGGGTGAACCAGAATAAATTTCTAAAGTTTTTTTTCAAATCTGATACGTTCACTTCACAGCTTTGTGAGCTTCCATAAAAAAATTATATCTCGATCTAGTAGCATTGGAATTACAATCAATAAAAAAACCAAAGTCAAAAGCTTTCGAAACTTGTCAACCTACT